ACCAGCCATGAACCCCCTCACTTTAAAGTCCTACTTCTCTTCCCTGCCCCCACTGCTGTCTGCTCAGTGCCCAAAGTTCCCTCCTTAACCCTTCCAGGTTTCCCTGCTGAACACGCCCCTTTTGCAGCTAGTTAGTGTCACTGGTTAGGTTGGAGTTAAGTAGATGATCCAGCCCTAGCCGGTTTGGCTCAGTGGATAGAGCATCGGCCTGCGGACTGAAAGGTCCCAGGTTCGATTCCAGTCAAAGGCACATACCTGGGTTGTGGGCTTGATCCCCAGTAGGGGGCGTGCAGGAGGCAGTCAATCAATGATTCTCTATCATCATTGATGTTTCTATCTTTCTCTGCCTCCCCCTTCCTCTCTGAAATAAAAAAAAAAAAAAAAAAGAATGATCTAGTAGACCTGGGAAACATTAACCTCCACTCATTACCTGTGGCTGTAATTGAGTTCCTAGAGAATATGCCTATTTCCTTCATCTCAAAATCCTCTCTCCTTATGCACGGCTTATAGACCCCTCTGTGCATTACTTTTCTAAATATATCAATGAGCCCTAGCTGGTTTGGCTCAGTGGATAGAGCATTGGCCTGTGGACTGAAGGGTCTGAGGTTCGATTCCGGTAAAGGGCACATTCCTCTATGGCCTTTGGCTATTTTATCAAGTAAAGAGGGTGAAAAAGGGAAGCCTGGGCATGTGCCCTGACTGGGAATTGAACTGTGACTTCCTGATTCATAGGTCTATGCTCAACCATGAGCCACACCAGCTGGGCTCATCTGCAAAATCGATGACAGTACTTGCTCTTCCCATTCCAGAAGGCTGCGGGGAAAAGGTCAGTCACTCTGTATGGCAGTGGACATGGACATCCTACTCTCTGTGATAATATTGATAACTCTGACCTATGTGGGGCCTGCTTTCACCAAAGAATTTTCTGTCTAGCTTTCTGAGACGAACTGTCCTCTGAGGAACCAGGAAGGCTGCAACTGGAAAAGCATCCCGCGTATGTAGACTATTGGGGGTCCTTTAGTCCCAGGCTTTGGGACGCAGCTCAAGGACATGCATGCCTGTCTTCTTCCTTGAGGTACTGGGTGTGGTGCAATGGTGAAGGTGATAGGAGTTGTGTTTGGGGCTACCCTTTTCAGGCTTGATTTCACTGCCAGTCAGAGTTCCATGTGCTCAGAAGCTCCCTGAGTTACGGGAATGGGCAATGAACTTGGATTAGTTTTCAATTTTCTTTTTTAACAGTGGGACCTCTTTAGAAGTGCAATCTTACAGTAACAGAAAACATGTGGCAGCAGAGCTGCTGTGGCGACCAGACCCGGGCTGGGGCTCTGCCCACCTAGCAGTCCCCGAGGCAGGCATGAGGGACTTCTAGGCCGGCCCAGGGAGTGGTTTGAAAGCCAGGGTGCGTGCGCCGAATATGCTGGCCAGAATTTTCACAGTGGCCCTCTCAGAACCACTGCTCTTAAGGTCAGAAGTCTCCCTGGCCCAGACTCAATGCTGGACTGGGGACTCTCTGGAGAGCCCCCCGTTACCATGTCCCACCGCAGGCTTCCCCTCCTGTGGGGAGGATCACCACTTCATCCACTTTCAACTGAATTTTGAACCTTTCATCTGTTAAACCGGGAGTGAGCCCTACACTGCAGGACTCATTGTCAATATCTAAACCATCCTATATAATAAAAGGCTAATATGCAAATCGACCAAACAGTGGAACGACCGGTTGCTATGACATGCACTGACCACCAGGGGGCAGACGCTCAATGCAGGAGCTGCCCTCTGGTGGTAAGTGTGCTCCCACAGGGGGAGTGCCACTCAGCCAGAAGCTGGGCTCATGGCTGGGGAGCACATAGGTGGCAGCGCTAAGGATGTCCCACGGCCATCAGTCGGACATCCCCCGAGGGCTCCTGGACTGCCAGAGGGGCAGGCTGGGCTGAGGGACCCCCGCCCCAGTGCACGAATTTTGTGCTGGGGCCACTAGTATAAATTGGTAAAGTAGGCGCTCAAAGAGTGGTTTCCTGCCCCCCCCCCACCCCCCCAAGCTAACCGTCTTCCCTCCGGGCTCTCCCAGCTGCCTCCACTGTTTCTCTCCTCACACTTGCAGCGCACACACCTCACTGGGCACCTACCACACTCCCTGGGGTATTTGCGCTGCTCACAGCAGGTCTGAGGAAATGCATCCATCCTGCTGCACCGCAGTCCAGGCCCTAAGAGAACGGTGCTTGCTGGGCTCGCAGAGGTCGCTCCACAGCTGATGGCTGCGCGCTAGCGCCGGCGGGGTCCCCCTGCCTTTCCCAGGGCTGTGCTCAGAGACGTGAGGGAGTGGGGGTGCGGGGTGTCGGGTGAGGACTGAGGGGGTGACGCATCACCACAGAGGACACCCAGGACGGAGAAGTACTTTCTCTTGTGGCAAAATAACTGGGTCTCAGCTCCACACGAGCGGCCTCGGCCGAGCCGCCGGCTGGGGGACCGCCGGTGTGACGCGGGTCAGCAGGGGCTCGCGGGATACACGCCCGCCTCCGGCGGCCAAGGACACTTTGGAAAGGACCCCCTCTCCGAGCCGCGGGCCGGTAGGGTGAGAGGCTGCCAGCTCCCCGAATTCCCGCTCAGTCACTTCCAGCTGCGGCTCCGAACCCCGACTTCACTTTGTGGGAAAGTCCCACCCCTCGGCAGTGATTCGTCCGGAACAAATACGCGCCTAAGCCATCTCCGAACTTTATTGGCTACCGCTGCCGTCAATCTGTGGGCACAAGTGGAGACTTATGGGAAATGAAGTCCGGCGAAGCTCGAACCCTCCTGGGGCTGGCGTTTTCGCTCCTGGTGTTTGGTGGGCGTCCGAGGGCCCAGATTTGGGGTCTGGACCAGGGTCCGAGTGCAGTGTGGGGCCAGACCTCCCGCAGTCGCAGGGCCTTGGCGGACGGAGCGGCTTGGGTCGCCCTCGCCGGGTGGGCGTGGCCGGGCCGAGATCCTGGGTCCGGACGTGGGTCCAGGGCCCGCGAGCGGACCGGGGGCAGGACACGTCGTTATGCCGGCGGCACCCTTTTCCCCACCGCCCTCCGGCCCGGCGGGGACGATCTCGCCCCCCACCAGGGTGGCCCCTGGAGCAGAGTAAGTCAGGCTCTGCAGGCCTGTCACCCAGCCCACGGTCCAAGGGCAGAGCCACTGTCCCAGTTCTTGCCACAAACCAGCTGTGAGACCTTGGGCGAGTTAAGCCCCGACTGCCTCAGCTTTGTGTCGAAGCCGGAATATCTTAACTTTCCTTCCAACTCTAACACCCTGTGAATCTGTTTTTATCATCTTTGCTCTTAAAGCCTGTAACCTTAACCACGGTAAGCCTTCCTGTTTGGGAGAGTTATGGTGCCAGGACTGAGGAATCCTGAACGGGGCGCCCAAAGCTGAGAACTCAGCCAGATGCAGGCAGCTCAGCAGCTGGAGCATTTGAATCTGAAGGGCCAGCCGCCTCCACCCGGTGCTGCTCTCCAAGGTGCTGCCACCTTAGACACCCTCTGTGCTTGCCCTGCACATTCACTTTGCAACACTGGGGACCAGTGGCTGGGGAGGGTGAGCTTATTGTCCCTATTATCTCTGCAGCCCATCCTCATTCTTCAGTGTAGATAACTGGCATTTTCTCAGCCCTAAGTAAACTGCTATGCAAACACCGCTCCATGTGCCTCTACTTTCCAACCAGATCACCTGCCTTTGCCCCCTCCTATCAAAGTTCTGGAGCTGCCTCCCCAGTGACAGAGGGACCAACTCCTCGGGCACCAAGACACGGGGAGGAGAGAACAGGAAGGCTCTTTCTTCACCTCAATCCTGTGGGATGACTGACACTGGCGCCTTTCACTAGGGTTCACTCTGTAATGTATGTCTCTGGTGCTAGTTCTGAGTGGCTCCCCTCTGACGGTGGCTTCCCAAGAGGTAAAGGAAGAAATTTCGACTTCAGAGCACAGTTATAAGGTTCTTCTCTGAGCTGAACAATGGCTGTAGCTGGGGACCAACAAATCCAGGCTCCTCAAGTACAAGGAGAGCTTTGGATAGTGAAGCTGGAAGAAGATTTTCACTGGGAGCAGGAAATTTCCCTTCAAGGGAGTGGCCCCGGACCAGTGCTTTTGGCATTTCCACTCTCAAGAAGCGTCAGCAACCCAGGACTCTCATCCATCTCCGGGAGCTCTGTCGCCAGGGGCTGAGACCAGAGAAATGTACGAAAGAGCAGATCCTGGAGTTGCTAGTCCTGGAAGAGTACCTGTCTTGCCCTAGGGGACCCAGATCTGGGTGAGACAAAACACCCAGAAAGTGGCGAGGAGGCAGTGGCTGGAGGACTTGCAGAACCCGGAAGATGGGGGCTGCAGGTGAGATATGGAACCTAGTCAGAACTAGTCAAAATAGAGGAATGTGAGAGACAGCCACCCGGGTTGCCAGCAGTGAGGGGGATGTGCAGTACTTCGCTGTTTGTGTCAAAGTGAAATTTGCTTATTCCCTGGAGCTAGTTTTCCTCTCAAGTTCAGACGGACTCTTCAGAGAATGCACAACCTTCTCTGAGCTATCCCTGTTGTTAAATGAGTGGGGATCGAGCCCATAACTCAGGCATGTGCCCTTGGCCGGAATCAAACCTGGGACCCTTCAGTCCGCAGGCCGATGCTCTATCCATTGAGCCAAACCGGCTAGGACTAAATGAAAACTTCTTAAAATGCTGAGCACCACGCTGATCAAGGAGGAGCTGTCATCCAGCAGCAGCAGCCTGAATCACGGGGCTTCACTGGTCTTTACTGACATGATTGAACCTTTGGGTCCTATTGCAAAGTAGCTGTATTGTTGGATGGATCTCTGAGTTTTGATTAGGAGTTGACAGGAGCAGCCCCAAGAGAGCTGGTGGGCAGGTTGCAGTGGGCCTGGGCCCCAGACCTGTGACTCTGAAGCCTTCCACACATGCGCACTCTGATCTGACTCCAACACAAGTGTCTTAATCACTATGTTATATCAGCCTCCCAACTGTACAAAGTGCCGGGAGCCAGAGCTTACATGGGGGTGGGGCTGTAAAGTCAGGACACGGGGAATGACTGTGCATGGTCAGCACTGCTCTTGAGAAGGCCCCCCACCGTCCATTAGGTCAGGAAGGCGTCTCTCGTGCCAAAACCCGTGGGACTGACACCTGCTGGAAGCAGCAGGATCCTGTCGTCCACAACTGTCTGACCTAAGAGCAGCCACCGAATCTCTATCCTGCATCCTACCTGGTATTTTCCCATATATTTCTTCTAACTTCCCCCAACAACCCTGCGAGGTAGTAACTACTCTTCTCATTTTACCAATAAAGACACTGAGGCTAAGAGAGGCTGCTTCACTGGCCCAAGGCCACTCCGCTGGTAACAGGGACTGTGGTCACTTGAGTCCTAAATCAGTGCCCTTGTTGTGTGTACAGCAGCTCCTCTTCCAGGGGCCTGGCAGGAAGACGCTGGTGTCAGCGGGAGGCACGGAAGTCCACCCAATCCCACACGTGCACAGAGGCATCACTTGCTGCGGACAACAAAGTCCTTGGCTTGCGGGGGTGCCAGGTGTGGGTGGTGACCAGCGGAGCAGCACCTGTCCCATGGTCATCTAGGAAGACGTGACCTCTGTGAGTGAAGAGAGGTTCTACGTGGCCCTCCATTCCATCCCGAGACGTGACATCATAGACCTGGACTGTCCCATCAAAACCTGAGGAAGAACGAGAAATGAGAAGACCAACAATGAATCGCTAAAATAATTTTTATAACTTGTTCTATGGCATCAAAACAGACTATGGGACGAGGAACCTAATAGTAAACAAGATACTTAATGGCCAACCAAGGGCGTGGAATATCTTCCCACATGCTGGCAGCTGCCAACTTCACGGGGCACATGACGCCGAGAATCTGTAGTATAGCACGTGCCAGGCCTGAGGCTAATCCTTTAATCCTCACACTGTATGAAGTAGGTACTAATACTTACCCCAGGAAACTGAGGCTTAAGACTTTTTTAAACCTTTCCACTTGCCAAATTCTAATCCATCTGGGTCTCAGTAGATGGCCTCATCTCCACACTGATGGAGAAAATAGAAGCCGCTAGAGGAACATTCCCATGTTCCCCCCACGACCTAGCTCCATCTGCTGTCTTCTTGTGAAAAGCCAGTCCCTTCCCCCACACTTGGTTCTTGCACTCTTTCTGGATCCTGCCATTATCAATGATCCTTTCTTGCTCTCTCAACCTCTTCCCCTCTCAATGGATCCTTCCCATTGGCCTTTATTATTATTTTAAAAAATATTTTTATTGATTTCAGAGAGGAAGGGAGATAGAAACATCAATGATGAGAATCACTAACCAGCTGCCTCCTGCATGCTCCCTCCTGGGGATCAAGCCCACAACCCAGGCATATGCCCGTGACCGGAATCAAGCCCGGGACCCTTCAGTCCACAGGCTGACGCTCTATCCACTGGGCCAAACTGGTTAAGGCCTTCCCATTGGCCTTTAGATACTCTCACTAAATATCTTCTTTCAACTAGATACTGCCAGGCCAGGAGCCTGCTGACCTAGGGGCTTGCTATAATTCAAAAAGCAATTAGACTGAGAAGCACCCTTGGAATCCTATGGCCTCTTTCTGGTCGAGCCCCATGGCTGTCCTAGTGTCTTACTATCTGCAGGCTCTCGACCAACCTCAGAACTGAATTCCTGCTAGGATGGGAAAGCCCTGCTCCCACTGTATGGAAGTTGAGTAGCCAGTTGGGGAAGAGCCTGCCCCTGAGGAACCTGGAGATTCTCAGTGAGCGACTTTAACTTTGGGTGCCAGAGGCCCCTTCCTGAGCACTCGATAGTCCCTGGGAAGAGAAAGCTCAAACAACAGATGCAAAATCCTGCTCAGCGGTACCTGAGATGGCCAAGCAGCTGTCCAGGCCTGGAGCCCAGGTCACTCGCAGCAGCTCTGGGTCAGGGCTGGGTGTGGACACTGGGCACCGCACTGAGCGCACAGGATGGCGGAGGTCCCGAGGGTCAAGAAGACAGAGCAGTCCATCTGAGCACAGGCTGGCAATGTTGGGCCCAGGGCCCTGGCCCCTGACTTCTGCACACCACCTCCCTCCACCAGACCCGGGGCTGGGGTTGACATTCTCTGCCGGCGCCCACTTCTGGCGGGTGTCAACGAGCCCCAGCCGGCCCGAGGTGCAGCAGAAGGCAAAGGTGTCTGCATCCAGGACCTGCAGGCTACTCAGCTCCTCACTGTCACTGACACCTGGGAGACAGAGGGCGAAAGAGAAAAGCTGCTGGAGTCACACGGGTCTGGCAATCTGGCAGGGCTGGCTGGTCACAAGTCCCTTCCTCTGGGAAGCACTCCCAATACCAGCAGAATAAACCACGTCTCCCCTCTCCTGTTCATTTATTAAAAAATATATTTTTATTGATTTCAGAGAGGAAGGGAGAAGGAGAGATAGAAAGGTCAATGATGAGAGAATCATTAATGGGCTGCCTCCTACATGTCCCCCACTGGGGATCGAGCCTGCAACCCAGGCATGTGCCCCCGACCGTAATTGAACCCAGGACCCTCCAGTCCGCAGGCCAACGCTCTATTCACTGAGCCAAACTGGCTGGAGCTCTCCTGTTCATTTTGCCATTCTATCCACTGGTGGGTGCTGGTCCCAGGAATGCCTCCTCCAATCCTAGAACAGGAGTCCCTAGAGGTCGGGGCTTGCCTTTCATTCATCTTGTGTCCCCAACATTTGGCACACAGGGTTGGATTCAGTTCTAACGTGGCAGCCTAGGGGCAAACTGCGCTGTCCGTACCTGAGGTGTACGTGACCTTCTGGGATTCCAGATCCACAACCTTCAGGCCGCTGAGCCGCGCCCCGTGGAGGACTCCAGGTGCCACTGACGAGAAGATGGCGATCCTTGGCCAGAGACTCCCCTCTTTCTCATGCACAGCAATGGTGCGGACAGCTTCAATGACATCTAGGGGCAAGTGGAAGAGGTGAAAGACCAGAATGTTAGTGAAGGTTTGAAACATAACCTGGTGCAAGCCGGCCAGCGGTCTTCCCCTGCATAGCTAGAAGGTCAAGGAAGAAAGGGAACTGACAGCTGGCTAGAGAGGATGTGGCATCATAAACACTCTGTGTTATATTTACATTTTGAAACTGTCAGAAGCACTTTAATTTCTTTTTTTAAATATATTTTTATTGATTTCAGAGAGGAAGGGAGAAGGAGAGAGAAATAGAAACATCAATGATAAGAGAGAATCATTGATCGGCTGCCTCCTGCACGCCCCCTACTGAGGATCGAACAAGCAACCCGGGCATGTGCCCTTGACCGGAATCGAACCTGGGACCCTTCAGTCCACAGGCCGACGCTCTGAGCCAAACCGGCTAGGGCGCACTTTAATTTCTTTATAAATTGTCTTATGAACTGTTTTGCAAATGGGAGATAATGAATCTCAGACACCATCTCAAAAGCCCCCAAAGCAGTTCTGGCTTTTTATACTTTTGTGGAGTACAAATAAAAGGAAAGAATCCACTGATGGTGATGGTGTCATTTACACTTTAAGTGAAGAAAATAACAGGAACAGAATTCATGAACTACCATTATTTCTTCAAGAACTTATTATACAACCTTGGCACTTTGCTGAAACCTTGCAGGTAAAGGTCACAAGGCAAATGTCATTGTCTTCAAACACAAACTGGACAAGAAAGTCCATGTCCTTTTTACACTGAACAAGAAAGATACCTGACCTCAAGTTGAATCAAATTTTAGTTTTGTTTGTCTCAGCCTGCTTAGTGGACAGGCAGGCTCTCGTCTCTGCATCTACAACTGAAGCTTCTTTTAACAGGAGCCATTTATGACGTGGTTCAGAACAAGCTGTCTACTGCACAAATTACTTTCCTGCTCCAAGAGGGGACTCATTATTTGGTTCCCACAATCCCTGAAGAAAAGGGAGACGTATGTACTGTTTAAATTCTGAAGGACAGCCCTGACCGGTTTGGCTCAGTGGATGGAGTGTCGGCCTGCGGACTGAGGGGTCCTGGGTTCGATTCTGGCCAAGGGCATGTACCTTGGCTGTGGGCACATCCCCAGTAGGAGGTGTGCAGGAGGCAGCTGATCGATGTTTCTCTCTCATCGATGTTTCTAATTCTCTATCCCTCTCCCTTCCTCTCTATAAGAAATCAATAAAATATATTTTAAAAATAAATAAATAAATAAATAAATAAATAAATAAATTCTGAAGGACGTAAAAATCAGCCTCTGAATAGAATGGATGAGGAACATGAACTAACATGACTTATG